CTGAGCCATATCAGCTAGAGTCTCCAACCACTGGTTCCTTTTGTCCCACCGACCCCAATCACCTAGTCTGCATCACCCTATATTGCTCAAACCAACAGTTAAAGACTTCACACATTGATGCCATATTTTAGTCTGGCCACCTCCGGCGTTCTCCAGCCTGGGGGCTTACTTCGGCCAACATTGTTTGACGAGCCAGACGGCCGACCGATAGCTGCTACCTCCCGACCGATAGCTGCTACCTTGACGTGGTGGTCGGGCTTGCATATCACAATGACCCAACGAGCTATGCTGGTGGAACGCTTGTTCCCTCGAGGTCCTACCATACCAGAAAGGTCTGTTGGGTAGTGGTTAGACGAAAAGCAGTTACCGTCATAGTGTAAATTGCTATACTATGATGGGGGTCTGAGGGCGAAGTCGTACTGCTGCTAGCTGGATGGGGTGTGACAGCAGTAAGGTGTTTCCCTTGGATGACCAGCAGTGCCAAGCTGATGCTGCCTTCTCAGTGGAAGGGGGGGTTAGAAAAGGTCGGCCCCAAAAATAACACACTCCACCACGCCCCACGGTCTGCCGGGCCGGCGGTGTTGGTTCACTTGTCGTTTCCTTTCGCTCATCCGGCCCCAAAAATACAAAAATTCAAAATAATCATACTCAAAAGGCTGGGTGTGACAGGCCTCAAGCAGATGTCCGATGGGCTCTGCGGTCACACAAATCTCTTTCAGGTACCTTAAGAAGAAATAGCCTTCCACGGTGTGGGCAGCCGGGAAGTGTCAACCGCCCTCACAACTCTGTCAGCACCCAAGTTTCTTCTGACTGCTATCCTCCTCCTCCATCATTACCTTCTAATCTTCCTTCACGTCTCTTAATTAATGATGCTGCATCATCTTCAATTTCTCCTACCTCTGCAGCCTTCGACAACGATCTGAGTCCACAGAACAGTGTCCCTGGTCTCCTTAAACCACGCTCCAAATTACATATTGGAGCCTTCAATGTCCGCACCCTCCGTCAAATTGGCCAACAGGCTTCGTTGGCAAAGACTCTAGCAACTCGAGGCATGGATGTGTGCTGTGTTTGTGAGACACGCATACAGGACCCAAGTGTGGTTATTCACCTGACCTCTCCTGACCAATCTGGTGAATCTGCAAAATTCACCCTTCGAGTTTCTGGAGATTCGATAGCTAGCTCTCGTGGTCTTGCAGGTGTAGGTATAGCATTAAGCACCAGGGCAGAAAACTCACTACTAGACTGGATCCCAGTTGATAGTCGCCTCTGCGCTATGAGGCTGAACGGCACAGTGAGAACTAAAAGGAATAGTGAGACTCGCCGTTGTCTCTTTGTAATCTCTGCTTACGCACCCACTGACTGTAGTTCGGATGAAGTGAAGGACGAGTTCTACCATAAACTGTCTAACCTCCTCTCGAAAGCCAAACGTTCGGACGTAGTGGTTGTTGCAGGTGACCTCAACGCACAGGTGGGTAGACTGAGTGAGGCAGAAAGGCACTTAGGTGGCACTTTCGGAATCCCAGCTGAACGTACAGATAACGGTGATCGCCTATTACAACTATGCTCAGATAACCGCCTATTTTTAGCCAGCACAAATTTCAGACATAAAGAAAGGCACTGTCTGACCTGGCGTCCACCGAGCTCGACTCAGCGATGGACACAGATAGACCACATTGCTATTAGTCATCGCTGGAGAGGATCGGTGGAAGACTGCCGCTCCTTCTGGAGTACGTGTTTGGACAGCGATCATGCGTTGGTCCGAGCACGTATATGCCTGCGTCTCAATGGACGTAGAAAAAATTTGGCAACAAAACCACTACGAGTTCTGCTGGACAACGAAAACACCAAAGCCGTGTTCAGTGAGAAGTTGGCTAGGCAGTTATCGGAACAAAAGACTGTCACTCATCCAGAAGAAGCTTGGTGCCATCTTCAGTCTACTGTAAAAGCAGCACTGGAGACTGTAGCCGACTCCAAGATAATGGCTAAAAAGAGCCAGTGGATATCAGCAGCTTCTTCCAAACTAATGGATGCACGTGAATGCATCCCTGCAGGCTCTGAGTACAATGAAGAGCGAGCGCAACTTAAAAATAAACTGACGAAAAGTCTGCGCAACGATCGTGAACAGTGGTGGGCAGCAAAGGCTAAAGAGATGGAAAAGGCAGCGGCGATCGGTAACAGTAGACAGTTATTTAGACTTATTAAGGAGACTGGGGGGAAATGGTCAACAACAGTTAGTGAGGTTATAGCGGAGAAGGACGGATCGGCGATTCACTCGCAGGGAAGGCGACTGGGACGATGGGCAGAACACTTTGAGGAACAGTTTAACTGGCCTCCAGCCACCATTGCGCTGCCCGCTATCCAGTCGGACCCTGAATGGGACATAGAGACAGGTCCCCCAACACTAGAAGAAGTTGAGAAAGCGGTAGGTAGCCTGAAACGGGGAAGGGCAGCAGGACCAGACGGACTACCTGCTGAGGTATACAAGAATGGTGGTAGAGTTCTCTTAGTCAGGCTAACGGAAGTGTTAGCCAGTATATGGGAATCAAATACGATCCCCTCCGACTGGTCTAAGTCACTCATCATCCCAGTCTTCAAGAAAGGCGAGAAGTCCTCTTGTGATAACCACAGAGGAATCAGCCTGACAAACATAGTGTCTAAGATCCTAAGTTCTATAATTCTCCGACGCCTGAGTGGAGCTCGGGAACAGCAAGCCCGAGAAAACCAGGCAGGCTTTAGACCTGGCCGTGGATGTATCGACCAAATATTCACACTGCGCCAGGTCCTGGAACATAGGCATGCTTACAGACGCCCGACAATAGCTGTATTTCTCGACCTGAAGGCGGCATTTGACTCCGTTGATCGAGAAGTCTTATGGCAGTGTCTGTCACTGAAAGGCGTGCCTAGTAAGTACATCACCTTATTGAAAGCTCTCTACTCGAACACTTGTGGGCATGTTAGAGCCTATGGTGAGTTGTCCAGGGAGCTATACTCATCAAGTGGTGTCCGTCAAGGATGCCCACTATCCCCATTCTTATTTAATTTTATCATAGATATTCTTATGGAGGTTTCCCTCTCGTCACCTAATTACAAAGACGTTGACCGGATCACAGGTGAATTTTCCTTAGATCTAGAATATGCAGATGACATAGTCCTGTTAGGTGAAGACGCTGACAAGATGCAGAGTCTTCTGAACACTTTGAGTGGGAATTTGAGAATGTTTGGGATGCGATTTTCACCACCCAAATGCAAATTTTTGCTCCAGGACTGGTCTTCAGCGGTACCGCGGTTAACAATAGAGAGTGAAGTGGTTGAGTGTGTTGACCACTTCACTTACCTGGGAAGTAGGATCAACTCCGGTGGGTTAGTTGCCGATGAGATTTCTGCACGGATACAAAAGGCTCGATTGGCTTTTGCCAATTTGCGCCACCTATGGCGCCGCCGTGATATTCGTTTGTCTATTAAGGGTCGCGTGTACTGCACAGCAGTCCGCTCTGTTCTACTGTATGGCTGTGAAACATGGCCATTGAAAGTGGAAGACATGAGAAGGTTACAGGTATTTGACCACCGTTGCCTTCGTAGTATAGGACGTATTCCGTGGTGTCACCATGTGAGTAATGCAGAAGTTAGGTGTAGAGTTTTAGGGAGAAGAGGTAAGTCAGTCGACGAGGTTGTGAACCTTCATCGACTGAGATGGTTGGGACACGTACTACGTATGCCTAGTCACCGATTGCCTCGTCACACAATGTTGGCTGAGGTGGGTTCAGGCTGGAAAAAGGCCCGAGGTGGCCAGACTAAAACATGGCACCAATGTATGAAGTCTCTGACTGTTGGTTTAAGCCATGTAGGACGATGCAGACTAGGTGGTTGGGGTCCACGGGACAAGAGGAACCAGTGGTTGGAGACCCTAGGTGATATGGCTCAGAACCGAAGTCAGTGGCGCAGATGTATACACACATTATCCTCATCTTAACAACGCTATACCGAATCTCACTATTTTGTCACTCCTCTTTCCTTTCTTCTCATACTTTATATTTCTTTTGACTGCATTCACTTATCTTCATCCTTCACCTCACTACCTTTTTACTTGATGTGCTGATATGAGGTGTGGCAACTCGGACCGTTACGCAGTAATGCCTGGTCCTATGTTGATAATGATGATGATGATGATATAACACATGTACCAGCCAGCCATCTTAATCGATGAAGGTTCATAATCGGCTAGTTCGACCCTACCTACTTGACTTCAGAGTCATTATATAGAATTTAACAGATCAACTTACTATTATATTAAAAATCACATGTACAAAGTTGTTTGATTACTTTGATATGATTATATAAACAAGAATTTGTGCTCAAAACTATGTGCTATATCGAATAAACAAATTGAATATGTAATTAAATTCTATTGTAATATCTAAATTTTATACTTTTATTCACTGCACTCAGCATGTGGAACAACATCCGGATTTTCAACACCAACTCAGTCAAGTCAGTGCTTCTATATGGTTCAGAGACTTGGCGCGTCACGAAAGGCATTTCCAATAAACTACAGACATTCATCAACAACTTCCGCCTACGCTGGCTCGTTACTGAAGATCAGATGGATTGCCAGAATAATAAGAATAAGCAACAAGGAGCTCTGGCAACGAACCAACCAACAACCTATCGCTCAACAAATATGCAGGAGGAAGTGGAGAAGGATTGAGTATACACTGAGAAGGCCGACTGGGGACATCACGTGTCAGGCCAGTCACTCGAGTGGAATCCCCATGAGAAGCGACGAGTTGGACGTCCGAGGGTGACATGGAGGAGATCGTGTGAGGAGGAAATGAGAGCTTCTAAGCTGTCGTGGAACCAGAGAACAGAGTTCATTGGAGGTGTGCTATTGAAGCCCTATGTTCCACTAGGAACCCAAGAGAATAATAATAATAATAATTCACCTTTAAAACATATTTTAATGAATTAAAAAAATTTTTACTAAAAAGAAAAACAAAACTTACAACATAAAATCTGCTAAATCAAATACAATTTCATATGATCGTCTAGGATTATGAATAAGTTTTAAGAAACCAATTAATGTTTCACCGATTGCAGAGAATATTTGTGAGTATATTATTGATGAATTAAACAATGGAATTAAATGATAATGTGCAAGTAAGAGAGAATTATCCTGATAAATAATTTCATTTTGTTTATTTGCTTGAAAGTTTAATTGATCAACACTTTCTTCTTGTTCTTCTTTGTTTTTTTGATAATCTGAAGAAATATTGAAAATACTACTAACTGATTGTTTGTTTAGATTTGAAGTGATTATTTTATTGAATAGAGAAAGTTTTTCATAATGATATGAATTCGGCTTTTTACACCATAAACCAATCATTTGACCAATTCGTTTTATATAATTAAATATACATAACCATAATTCTACTGCATAACTTTCTGTCCAATAAGTATCTTTTTCATCTCTGGACATTGTTGATTTATGCTTAGATGAGAATTTTGAGGATATTTCTGTTGTAATAGGATTATTATTATTATTACTGTTATTATTACCAATAATACCATTATTATTATTATTGTAAATAAATGGAGCTATAGATGATCTTCTCAATATTTGATTTTGATAAGAATGAAAATGTGTATAAATTTTATCAACTAAATGACTTATATACCAAACAGTTGGATTCAACTCCTTATTAGCATCAAGAAGAATACATTGTGTTGTTGATGAATAATGATTCAATGAAGCTGGACTATTGTTAACATTAACAAGTAATCTCTTTGATAAATGTATAAAATTGATATTCTCTAAATATTATTACATGAAAAGGCTAAATCTAATACTTCAATAATTGACTTATTCATATCATCCATTGAACGATTTGAATCTAACCGAATATTTGTCAATGTATTTAAACAAATACATAGAATCCAGATAGCATAAAATAGGCTATCAGTTTGAATCTGTTGTGAAAATATCCATAAAAAGAAAAGAATTATAGGAGAGAAGAGAAACAATGAAATATTTAATAACAATTGACACTAACTACAATGAATGATTTAAATAAATCATATCTAATGAAAATGACGAAGACTAGCGATAAGCACCCATGATCTTGCCAGGAATTGAACCCCCAACCTTCAGTTTCCATAGTCATCATGTTACCATTGAGTCACTGGGTTGAAATTCAAATATGAAATGCTAACAGACAGAAGGATAAGATATAAAGAATAAACCATTAATCCAACACTCTTTTGAAGTGCTCAATTTTTTTCAGGCTGTATAACTAACTGTTATTCGACAAGAAGCTCTGAACCTAGATTTTGTGCTTGTTGGCACTCATTAGCAAGGCGTATTATCAACTTCGACCGAACTAATGTCCCCTGTGAGATTAGAAACCACGTCACCCATTGCCGCAGACACATCTTGATGATGAATGTGGAAAGGCATAAAACCTAGGTCAAATAAAAGTTCCTGTTAATCGTTTCCATCCAACTAACATCTCTCTCAGTAGATCATAATGATGAGTCTTCTAGCCTGGTGATCACATTTCAAAATGGTCGACAGAATTTGATCAGCACATAGGACTAGACAACATGAAATTGGTTACCCCTTTCCCTCCCTAGTGACCAACCAATATATGTGTAATTAATTACATCGATAGCTGGTGTACATATAGGCTTTCACTTATTCAGCATATTCGTACAGTAAGCGATGAGTCACACCGATGATCTGGGGACTAATAATACTTACTACATTATTATTATTATTAGTCCCTTGGGTTCCTAGTGGAACATAGGGCTTCAGTAGCAGGTCTCCAGTGAATTCTGTTCTCTGAGATCTTTTGAACCTGGCAACACGACAGCCCACAACCTCTCATTTCCTCCTCGCACGACCTCCTCCATGTCACCCTCGGAACCGACGTCCAACTCGTCGCTTCCCATGGGGATTCCACTCGAGTACCTGGCCTGACGCGTGATGTCCTCAGTCGGCCTTCTCAGTGCATGGCCAATCCATCTCCACTTCTTCCTGCATATTTGTTGCGTGATAGGTTCTTGGTTGGTTCGTTCCCAGAGTTCCTTGTTGCTTATTCTTTCTGGCCATCTGATCTTCAGTAACGAGCGTAAGCAGTTGTTGATGAATGTCTGTAGTTTATTGGAAATGCCTTTCGTGACGCGCCAAGTCTCTGAACCATACAGGAGCACTGACACTTACTACATAGCTATCCACATTTCAGAAGACAGTGGGACATGGAAAGAACACGCGACCTATTGGTTGAAAGTCAACTGTTTAAGCCAATGATCAACAGCCCCACGAATTAGTATTATAAGTTGTAAGGATAGTATACAACTTTCTATGAAAAATTTTCAGGGATGAAATATAAGGTTTGAATCTTAAAAAGCAGGAGTTCGAAGGTTAACTCCATTCACTGTGCTGGAGAAATGGAAGCATCTATGCAAATTCATATAAGATAATACGATTAAAAAAGAAAGGTGAACAGTTATTCAACTAGATTTCAAATTCAAAAAACAAAATAGCATGGCCATATGACTTAACAATACATCGAGCAATAAAAAAAGGTTGAACTTCAGATAAGAACCATCTCTAGGAACCATACTTAGAAATCATAGTCATCATAGTCCGTTTCTCTACTCCTCTAATGTCACAGAGATATCTGCAATACAAATGAACATTCCTGAAAGCGCATTTAAACAGCGTAACGAGACAAAAAAATATCTGAAACATGTCGTAATGTATTAGCGCTACACATTTCGAACAATCTGATAGTATACATGGTCTTGTCAAACTATTCATATGAAAATTTACAAAAAAAAAGGGCCAATGAAGTCAATAGGAAATATTGGAATAGGGAGGACAGAGAGATGAAACAAAATTTTAATCACATTACTCTCGGTACAAAAATTAAAATACAATACACCACCAAGATAGGTTCAACAAGAGTATGAATTATTTATGTATATATAAAGATGGTTTGAATTTATGGATGACAACAGCTTCAATAAATTTCATCACTCAACCGTGATCGATTTATATAAGACATATAAATGCTGTTTTCATGTCTATCCTGTTGGATTAGTTTCTAGTATATATTTAGCGATAGATGAAGATTGACATTTGTCACCTTCACTTATCGAATCTGTTGGGATTATTTGTTTTTGAAGCCACAACCATCCTTAACTGCATATCATGATTACTCCTCCCTATGTATATGTGTTGAGATATACATGTAAACTGATAAATACAATGAATGTGATACAATCGTTTATGCGTTGTTTCAGTTTGTGTTGTAACATGGAATTTATCTTCTCTACAATGATGACCTTGGTTGCATAATGTTTTACAACAAAGTTATGTGAATCACCTCTAAATGGTAATGAGATGTAGATATTTTGCTTAGCAACAGAACACTGCATACTTTTCAATATAATATAACTTTCAGACCTATCGATAAATTTCAAAGGGCAGTCATTCTGTATCAGTGTTGTCATCACTAAGTTCGTTTCTTCCTTCTTCGTATCAACGGTGCAGATGCGGTTTATCCTGTTGAATAAACACTTAACTAAACCGCGCTTATATTGAACTGGGCAATAGGTATGGAAATTAAGATATTGTCTTATCCATGTAGGCTTCCAATAAATCAACCTTCTGATCGAGCCATCCTGCTATCGATTAAGCGATATGTCTAATAACGGTAAGCTGATTGTTCCTCTCTTGTGATATGCAGTTAAGGATGGTTGAACACATATCTAAGTGGCTTCAATAAGTAAAGGTGACAAACGTCAATCTTCATCTATCGGTAAATATATACTAGAAACTAACCCCATAGGATAGACATCAAAACAACATTTAAAGTATAACATAAAAGTGATCAGAGCCCAGTGCTTAAATTTAATGAAGCTCCTGTCATCGTAAATTCAAACCACCTTGGTGGTGTATTGTATTTTAATTTTCATACCGAGAGTAATGTGATTACGATTTCGTTTTTTATCATTTAACTATCTGAGGTAGCCGTAGTTTGGTAGACTAGTATTTATACTGGATGGTGATTGAAGGTGAAATAAAAATTTGGACAGCGGCCAGATTCGAAACAACAGCCTGATGCTCTGCATTTCTATTCCTATGTTTCCTATAAACTTCATTGACCATTTTCATATAAATAGTTCGACATGTCCATGTGTGTTATCAGCTTGTTCGAAATGTGTACAGCGCTAATACATCAACGATATGTTTCGGATAATCTTCGTTTTCTCATAACGTCGTTTAGATTTATCTACAGGTAATCCATAAACAAGCAAATATCTGTTAATATGAAGTGGGGTGGTTTGTATGGAGATGATTAGTCCAGTAAACAAGATCACCTCATAGTATGAATTGTTGAAAAATTATTCGGATCTTAGAAACTATTAATTCCTATAACAAAACACTTACATTCAAAATGCTTATCTCACTCAATGTAGAACAAATGACACGGTAAGTGTATGCAGGAAATTCATACAAACGATCACATATACACAGTATAGAGGCTTGTCGAGATAACAGATAATTTCTTAGTTCAAATAGTGTAGCATTACGATATTTTAAGCGACCAGTTTGTTTAACTTCTGTATTGGTCACATCTAGTGAATAATCGCAGAGATGGCGAGAAGCTTCGTAAGACGATGATGCTTGTATCAATCGACTCAACCAAGACGGACGCTTAGATCCTGGATACATATAGTGTAAAAATAAGATAGAGAACAAAATCAAAATTATATTTTTTTGTTTCAAGTGAAAGGTTATACATATATAATTTTTCTGTCAAGTATGGCAAGAACACAGTTACAGTTCAGACAGAAGCTTACAAGACCCATAAGTGACCAGTTTTGAGCGGATATCGCTTGGATTCTGTGGTCAAGCACCCAAGTCTATTAGATCACTCTATTTCCTACCAAGGAGAATTAACTTCCTGCGGTATGGGCAACTGAGAAGTGTCTACCGTCTTCATATCATTTTCAGTACTTAGATTTCTTTTAGTTTGTCCCCTTCGATATCCTCCTCAGATTTATTGGTAATACTTGTAAAGTATTTTTAAAATCTTCAAGTTCTGAAGTTCATTATAACGGTTAGATTTCGTGGAATAACGTTACTTGTCGTCTGAAACTGAGCTTTAAAAAACAATTAGAAGTTAACAATGTCCAGTGACTTTCCTTAGTCGAACCATAAGACTTACCACCTGAAACTCTGGTATATTAAGTCAATCATCCAAAATAGCATACAAAGTCAAAGTCGATCCAAGAAAAACGAAAGAAACAGTTAGTGCACCTCGATAAATTCATGTGAAGTAGTGAGCCTTCGTGCTGGCATACAGGTAACTAAAGAATAGAGGCAACCAGAATATGGGCTAAAAAAAAAATCTTAACAATAATCCTGAACAGAAGAGGATAGCGAAGGCTAGGCAGACAGAAACGATAGGAGTGGTAAACAAACTTAAGCGGTTGATTTAAATTAATAAGCAAATCGGGGTGAGAAACCCGACGGTTATTGAGACTAAAGAGGAGTGTTTAAGATACTAGGGTTATTAATAATTAAACTCTAAAATGAATTCAGGAATAGAAAACCTGAAAAAACCAGGTAGGTTTTAGACCTAGTCGTAAATGTATCGACCTTATCTTCCCAATCAACTAGATCTTACAACAAGGACACACTTAAAAGCACGCAACACTAGCTGCATTGTTAACCTGAAGGTGACATTTAACTCCATCAGTCGAGAAGTCCTACAACAGTGCCTGTCATTGAAAGAGATACCGGATAGTTATGTTTGAACAGTCATAATCATGATAGAACCCATTGTGTGGTATTTAGGTGAGTTGTCTAAGCTGAGTGGTGTCCGTCAAAGATGTCCATACTTTTAAAACACCGTTTCTCTATCCTTAAACTTGGAGATGCTGTAGACCACTCCTTTAGCGGCATCTTACAATTTAAAAACCCATATCAAAAGTACTTATAACTGACCTTCAGATTGTTCATAAGGTCTTAGATTTCTTCCCTTGCAGCACTTTATAAAAACGAATATAAATATCCATAAACGATTATTTACTGCTGCTACTTACAGCGCAAAACACTGTAGGTAACATGATTTAAAGAAGGGATGTGGCTTAAAGTCATCCCAAGGGGGTTTATAGCGTTCTGTGTGAAAATGTGTATTTTCTATATACTATATGCACATACTCTGAGTTGAAAACTGCAATCATAAATCCTTTTTATTGCAATTTAAAGCCTCAACTAACTCGCTGTGATCTGTGAGCATCATTATTCATGCTGAACAATAATACTGACTTTCCACTTGAGAATTGGAAATGCAGTCAACACTTCGTATATGAATAAACGGTTTGAAACGCGGTTCAAAGACAGATGGTGTTGTAAAAACTATACGAATGGATAAAATAATCATACAGAACACAGAAAAGATGCGCATTTTCCCAAATGACACAATAACCTATATCAATCACGATAACACATGGAGATAACTTTTAGCCACCTCACCTCTTTAACATGATAGTCGTAAATTCTAATACGGACTAGTAAAGATCATTTACGAAGTAAGCAGGTAAACAAACAGACAGACAAAATCAACGCAGAACCTCACCCACAAGTGCATCGGTTAGAGTTGCCACACTTCACAGTGGTACACAATGAACAAGCGGATAGAAAAAGACTGATATTAAAGTAGACAATGTTGTGTATGACAGAATGAACAATTTGAAGATAAGGGTTTAATGCAAATATATTCAAGCTTCAGAAGATGTTAACTATATCGCCAAGATTCCTCAACCATTGATTCCTATTGTCTTGGGGACCCCAAATCAGGTTAACACACTAAGACACAATAATATAATTCTGAAAAATGATGAATTCATTTGACTAAGTATGTACCGACCAATGAATTAGGTTGTAAGTTAAACTTTTTATCTAAAGATGAAAAATAGTAACCAAGGTATTAAATTGGAGCAAATGAAGTAAAGTCAACTGAACTATATGTAATAAAGAAAACGAGTACTAAACTAGTATTTTTAGCAAGTAAATACAATTACTGACATAATGATAACATTAGCAAAACCATAAACTATTGGAAAGTAACTATACCTTGATCCTTTGAGTCTTGTATACAATTGAAAAGCAATTCAGTTGCCTCATAGTATTCATGTAAGGCATGTTCATGTCCTCCAAGAAATAAGTACATATGTGCTAATTCTTCCTATTTTTTGAAGAGAAAAAAAACGTATGTGAAAAGAATAAACAAGATAAATAGTTTGGTAAGGGAATATCAGAAATGCTGTTAACAGCTGATGAGAAACCACTAAATAAAATGAATTGATTTCACTCTGTGTCTTGTTGTTCTGGCTTTTTCCAAAAGATGAACAATTATTGTTATTGCTTGTATTATACGGTCGTTGATTGGACCGAATTGATCGGTCTCTATTGACATATGGGCTCCTGTGTGGATGCCTCGATATACCTGTGTTCCAGTTATAGTAAAGATGGATAGTGGCTAATACAAACAATAACATTAAAACTATAACCATCGCAAAAGAAGTGGCTATCGTGGCTCGGTGGTCTAGTGGATAACGCTCTAGCATTTGAAGCGATCGCTCCTGAGTCTAAATCCCGATGGGAATAATATCACTCACTGGGAGGCAGGTACATCCAGCTGACTAGTTAGTCCCAAATAGGACGAAATGTGCATCCTGAATTCCACTGCTAGCCAATATCCATCTTTACGATGAACAATTATCATTGATATTAGTCCGATTACAATGGATACTGACTATGATTCGCGTAGAACTTTAGCCATGAACTAATGTACCAACTACAATATACTGTTCATGAATATTTCAATGTGTATCTATTTGTCCTTTAGATTCACTGTTCCGCTAGTTTCATTGGTCAGTATTGACAATAGAATTCACCTTACAAGTACTTTCAATAAGATCATACACTCACAATCATTTTATCTAGCGCAATCATGTTTGTAATAAGCTAGACAGAATCAATGTAGAACTTCGCAAAGAGGAGTATCAATTCAAGCTACCACGCTTAACAGTAAGTAGCATGCAAAGAACAAGTTGGTAGAAAAATGGAGATATCAAAGTAGAGAATGGTGTATGTATGCACCATTGTGACTGATTGTCAGCCATGTCATTTTGGGTTTCCCATTATTGATTCCTGTCGTCCAAAAGGACTCCAGGCACTGTTCAGACCAATAGTCAGATACTTTATGGACTGATGTCACGTCTTCACTTAGCCACTCTGAGCTTCCTTAGAAACCAACGTTACTTTAGCTAACATTGTACGTGGAAGTAGGAAGTGAGTTGGCATTCGCTGAAGGTCAATAACCCCATCGACCGCCTTTCCTTTATTGCCTAATAGCCATCGCCTAACTTCTACACTACTCACACAGTTACTCCATCATACGAGAACAATTCTAAGAAAAACTTGTGTTCAAACACCTGTAGTCTCTTTACATCGACTACTTTCAATGACTATGTCTCGCAGCCGTGGAATAAGACACAACTAAACTGAGGTGCAGTGCACTATACTTATAGTTGCCGAGTATTACACAACGCTGATACCTTCTTCATCTCTGATCGCTTTCGTCACCCATCATTGTTCACGATTATTACGAGGAATTTTGGTCAATTTTACAAATACATTTCATTTATAATCCATTTACCCAATTCTCAACCTATTCAACCATACCAGGTCAAATTTTGATGCTGAAGTCTACAGAGCTTAGGTTTAAGTTGCTTTAGATCTTCATCGTGTTCAGAGCCGGTTGGAACCACTCTTCCCACACTAATCAGTTTGGATGAGGTGGCAGATATTCATTGCCCTTTTCCTACCTTTGGAAGTAGTTTACTAACTGTTATTGACACTGACCAAATTACATCGTTTAATGCGTTCAGTTTGAATATCGAATCAGGTATTTGATAAAACCGAAATACATAAGTAGTAATTGTTAGTTGGATGGAGGTAATCGGCAAGAAACATTGGACCTCGGTTTCGTGCTTATTGGCACTCGTCAGCAAAGCGTATCTATAACCTCTGCGGAACTAATGTCCCGCCTGAGATTTGAACCCGCGCCACCTGTTGTTGTAGTCAGCGACGTTACTGCATGAAGTTGGTTACCCTCCAGAGACCAACCAATGTATCTAATCCTACAGGAGGTCAGTCGAGGCCTGAACAGCTCAGTAGTAACGTCGCTGACTACAACGCTAGATGACGCGGGTTTAAATCTCAGGAGGGACATCTGTTCCGTCAGGGTTGCAGATACGCCTTGCTGACTAGTGCCAACGAGCACAAAACTTAGGGCCAAAGCTTTCTGGCAATTGCCTCAATCCAAATAATATCTATCAAGTTCATCGCGATGCTGAGCTGCATAGTCTAGTGGCCACATTTCAAAATAGTCGATAGAATTCGGCCAGCACATAAGACTAGACAACATAAAGTTGGTTACCCTGCAGTGACCAATCAACGTACATGAGCGGCGACTTTGTAAATTCCTGAACAACGCATATTTTGAATCTCAATATGAAAACTATTCTCCCTCAAGGTTAGAACACACTCGATACTGATGAATCCACACATACACGCATACATACAAGGAACTCAAGTATACATTTGACTATCTGAGACAGCCGTAGTTTGGCAGACTAGTATTCATATTCGGTGATGATTGAAGGCGAAATGAAAATTTGGACCACTTCCAAATTCAAACCATCGACCACGGCATCTCCCGCCTGATGCTCTACCAACTGATCTACCAGGTCCAACTACTGACCATATTTCTATCTCACTTCAATCATCAGGCATTTTGCCCAACTACCATGTGAATTCTTGACGCGTTACTACCGCCTGGTTGGATTCACACTGGCTGCTGCCTAGTCAGAACTTCTCATCCTAATAAAAATGTAGCTGAATTAGAGGGTTAGGGGGAGCACCATATTGATTATTATTTTGACTATATGAGATAGCCGTAGTTTGGGTGACTAGTACTTATAATGGGTAATGATTGAAGGTGAGATGAGAACTTGGACGGCGGCCGGATTCAAACCACCGACCAATGGGTTTCTGACCACAAACATTTACGCCTAACCGATAGAATACGCAACTATAAAATATATAAAGCTTTAAAAATGTGAAAGGAAACAATGATTAAAAATGGATTGCCTACCTTTCTGTCTAAGTACTCAAAATAATCCCATGTAAAACTTGAACGTGAATCAGCCAACATTTGTAAGTGTACATCATAATCAACAATAATTGACATACAAGCTGAGATTATAGCTTTACGAATAAGATAAGTTAACTGAATCCAGGATTCACTGAATAACCGTTCGTCAACTGAATTCGGAGCAGGAACTTCAAGAAATTGACTATTTTTCAAAAATATAAAGAAAAGCATGTGACGCTATAAATTGTTGAAGAACACTCTTCATCGAATAAATAGTAAATACGAAAGATATGAGTGCGCGCAAAGACAAAAGACATTTCTACGACACATTGGTAAGTAAACCTCAACAGGCTGCAGGTAGGAGAGACCTCACAACATTATAACAAATAACCAGGTTACCAACAGGGAAGAGATCAACTCAGATGAAAGCAATGAAAGATAGGGGAAAAAAAACCTAGTTACAAAGAGAAAAAAGAAAGGAAACAACGAACTGACCACTTACAAACACTTTTGAATTCACCACCACCGCCACATGCAACTCGTCAAGAAACACCGACAGCAACGCCAGAACTACCAGTGAACACAGGCCCTCCTACAAAAGCGGAAATCCTAAACGCCATAAAGTCGCTGAAATCCAGGAAAGCAGCAGGACCAGACGGAATTCCTCTAGAAGAACTGAAAAACACGCAGAGACACTCTCACACCACTACTGCAGAAGGTTCATAAAAAAGGAAAGGTACTGGCCGATTGATCGGAAAAAGGGTTACCATGTGAAACACCAAAACAAGCAAAAATATGAGTCTTTACAACAACTGGCACGGAATCATGCTCATACCCACACAAACCAAGCAAAATAATAAGCCTCATCATACTCGACAGACTAAACAATCCTCTAAATCCAAAATTACGACCTAAATAAGCTGGCTGACTGACTTCAGAAACAACAAATCATGTGCTCATCTAATTGCAACCCTACACTACACATCATCATAAATCAGAATAGCACAGAATAGAATACCAGTCAACTGCATCTTCACCTCAACTTCATCGATTCTCAAAGGCCAACGACAGCCTCCACTGAAAAGCAATTTGAAAACTGCTTCAACACTACAGTCTTAGTGCTACAAACATTTATCAACTTCATTCAACAACAGCTAAGCTATATGTTATATGAGGATGCTCAAGGCCAGGTGATTCACAATCGATAGTTCAGAGAGGCCTTCGAAGTGAAGACAGAGGACAGGAGTAGGACAAGGTTTCCACCTACTATCATCCATCATCTTCCTCATTGTGGTCGACTCCACTCCACTCAACTCAACTCGACTCATGCCACTGGATCATGCAACAAACTGTGAGGAGCGAGAAGAGAGGGATACGCTGGCTGGACCGATGAAAAGACCTCAGAAGACTTGGATTTCACCAATCATGATTTATGTCCAATGTCTTGTCTTGTCTTGTCTTGTCACACAAACTCGAAAATCTACAGGCGAAAACTAACAAGTTGACAGGAGAGGCAGGACAGGGCAGGGCAGAGGCAGAGTAGGGCATGGCAGACCAGGGAAGATGCAACTTCCTTCAGGTGAACGTAGAGACGACAGAGGTGATGAAGATACACAACCATCACCAACAACAGTAACAACAAGCCCAATCACCATCAGTGGGAGAAATCTAAAGGAAGTTGTCTCTTTCACCTACCTACCCATCTACCACCTACCTAGTCAGGGCAGTATCGTCTCAACTGCAGGCGGCACACGCACGGATGAGGACGTCAAAGTCAGCATCTGAAAGACAGTAACACAAACCTTCGTTAAACTGAAATGATCAGTGTGGAGATCTACTGCACTCCACTCCACTCAGCATAAAGTGTGAACAAGATCCGGATTTTCAATACTAATTCAGTCAAGTCGGTCAGTGCTTCTATGTGATGGTTCAGAGACTTGGCGCGTCACGAAAAGCATTTCTAGCAAACTGCAGACATACATGAACAGTCGCCGCCTACACTTACTCGATACTGAAGATGGAGATCAGATGGCCAGAGTAATAAGACTACGCAACAAGAAACTCTGACCCAGCAACGAACCAACCAAGAACCTATCACCCAACAAATATGCAGTAGAAGGAAGTGGAGATGGATTGGGCATACACAGAGGAGACCATTCGGGGACATCACGCGTCAGGCCACGCCAGACCTTCAAGTGGAACCGAAATGGGAAACGACGAGTTGGGAGTCCCAGCCGAGGGTGACATGGAGGAGATCATATGAGGAAGAGATGAAAGGTTTTGGGCAGTGGTGGAGCCAGATTGAAAAGACTGAGGAGAAGAGAGTAAAATGGTGACATGCTACTGAACTCTATGTTCCACTAGGAACTTAAAGGGTAAATAATAATAATAATCAATAAAGATATGCATTATTTTTTTTACTTAGTGAATAAGGGACATCAAAGAGATCTAGAACGAAATGAAACGCAGTCAGTCACCTGGTTCACATTCATGCAGTAGACAATGAGGGCCAATGATACGACTACCTGGCTGTTTAAATCTCAGTAAGTGGAGTGGGGTTCGAACCGAGTAGTAGATCCGATAGTACGACGTAAGAGCCTACAAGCGATATGAGCCTAACAGACTACGAACGCGTAAACGAATCGACTCTAATGCAAATCAGAACATTAACCATAACAAAAACAACATCGCCGACGTACGAAGGCAAGAAGAGAAAACAGACCGTAAAGTACCAATGGAGGAGATCATGCTAGAAGTACAGTTATGTTTGACGGCTACACTCTTCAAATTTCAAAATAAAATACACAAACAAACACAAACTGGCATAGAATCACCAATATCCTCTGTCGACACAAACATACTTATGGAGTAACTTTAAAGGTGACCTTAGCAACAACTGAAATAATTAATCAGGTTTCTTTATTTTAACTGCCAAGGTGGTTTTTATCATAAATTACTGCACTCTAACTGCTTACTTCAATAGTTGGGATTAGGGTGGGGATTAAAGTTACTCATATTAAATGGGTAGGTGGTAAGGAGTCGTTCCAAAGATGTGGTTAAGATATGTAGATGATGAGTGACTCTAAAAACCACCCTAATCACTAATGAGATTAGCAGCCAAGTTTCTTTATTTCATGAAGAAAAAAACTACCTTTCCTGCTAAAATAGTAAAGTCTGATTGGTGACTTCAACAGTTACTGAGGTGGCCTTAAGAGTCACTTTAGATGACACATTTACAGCATTAAAGTTGGAGCATACAGATAGGTTCGTTAAACACAAATTCAATAGTGAATGCAATTCAGTTTACTTGTGAACTAAGCAAAGATGATGGGAGTCTGTCTACATTGGATTTCAGAATGAAATGAAAGCAAGATGGAAGTTTAGACACTGTTGTCTATGGGAAACCTCCCCATTCGAACTTCATCCTATGTGAGTTAAGGTGGGTTTTCTTGAATATCTGAGTAGCAGGGCAAAACGCTTTATTCATAAAACAGAAAATGGGAGGTAAGAAATCAGATACATAAAGCATACTCTACTGATCAATAATTAATCTCCTGAATTAGTCAATCAATACAAAAGGAATTGTAAGAAAAATATATGACTGATAGGGGTAACAAATATGTCGTTAATAACAATGGTAATGATAATAATGGCAACATTATGAAGAGAGAATTTAGACCATCTTTGGTGTTACCATCTCAGAGAAATTATGTGGGATTCTCAATAAGGCAGAGATTAGAGTGAGCATTTAAACCTATAAACTAACTTAGAAACCAGTTTTACAGGTTAACAGATCCTGTTGATTCAATTCGGCGTAATAATTTAGCTCACCAAATCCATTGCAATGTTTACGAAATCAAATACATTGGTTAAGGAAGTTGACTAGGGTCAATAAGGCTATTCGAAGGCAAAAAAATCTAGTTGAATCAAGACAGGGAGACTGTAGTAACACAAGGAGTTTAGAAAAGAATTCGGTTATAGCTATGCATGAAGTTACACACAACCATATAATAAGATAGGGCAGAGTAACAGACATTTAAACTAACTGAATGGGGTGAAGGAAGAGATTGATAGTAGAATATTTGTTTATCGAATCAAAACCATCATCATCATTATCAACATAGGACCAGGCATTACTGCCTCACGGTCCAACTTGCCACACCTCATATCAGCACATCAAGTAAGGTGAAGGATGAAGATAAGTGAATGCAGTCAAAAGAAATATAAAGCACGAGAAGAAAGGAAAGAGGAGTGACAAAATAGTGAGATTCGGTATAGCGTTGTTAAGATGAGGATAATGTGTGTATACATCTGCGCCACTGACTTCGGTTCTGAGCCATATCACCTAGGGTCTCCAACCACTGGTTCCTCTTGTCCCACCGACCCCAACCACCTAGTCTGCATCGTCCTACATGGCTTAAACCAACAGTCAGAGACTTCATACATTGGTGCCATGTTTTAGTCTGGCCACCTCGGGCCTTTTTCCAGCCTGAACCCACCTCAGCCAACATTGTGTGACGAGGCAATCTGTGACTAGGCATACGTAGTACGTGTCCCAACCATCTCAGTTGATGAAGGTTCACAACCTCGTCGACTGACTTACCTCTTCTCCCCAAAACTCTACACCTAACTTCTGCATTACTCACGTGGTGACACCACGGAATACGTCCTATATTATGAAGGCAACGGTGGTCAAAACCAAATATGTACAAGAAGAGTGACTTATCCCCTGATCCAGATATGTACATAATTCTACTACCCATATATCACGGAAGGAAAGAGAATTAGACCTAAAAGCGCTATATCTTAAAGTTGAGGAGTTACCTTGATATCACTATAAAATAAATTTTGTTCACTGTGTGTGATACACACTTTATAAATCAACTGAGATGGATTGTAAAGAGCTCTGTTTCATGGGAATAAATCATGAACAAACACGATAAGACAGACAGTCATACCTTCTTGTCTTGACTTTGTTTTCTAAAAATGAAAAGAAGCTAATAACTTATAAACTGCTTATGATATTCTAGGAAACGAAAAGACAGAGATGAAGGAAGGAATGTTTAATATTGACATCTTGTACAAGAGTCATCAAATATGATACACCTTGCACTAAGACAGCCATTTGGATAATGTGAGTCCTCATCCAAAATGAGAAGTGCTAATTGAAGTAGTTTTGTTAACTTCGCAGCCAATACCAGCTGACCTTCGTCTATTCCAAGTTTCATGCCCCAGAACTGCTGCATCACCAGCTCTCTGTCCCCTGGGCTATCAAACTCCTCCCCTGATCGTTCAACCATTCTCTCCCAAGTCTCCTTATCATCCACATGTTCTACCCCGTCATATGCCACTTTCGCTCGACACCTCAGTAACGTGCCAAGTACCTGGATCCCGGACACCCTCCAGCTCTGCGACTGACTCAAAGTCCCTGAGGAAGACCTTGATGTCTTCATCCTCAAACACTTCAGGCCACGGAATCCTCATCACGTTCAGAAGCAGCGACACCAATTGTAGGAAACGAGAAGACGGAGACGAAGGAAGGAATGTTTATTATTAGTATCTTGTACAGTAGTCATCAAATATGGTACACCTTGCGCTAAGACAGTCATTTGCATAATGTGCTTCATTTTCTGCTCTGTTTGTATCTTGATTTGCTTTTAATACGCCCGCATTGTCTCTTGTGTTTCTCTGGGCAGAATCTTTACCCAATATTGGTAATTTTCTATGATTTCTGACGCCCTCTCAACATATACTGCTTATATCCATTCTGAACACCAACGTCCACTACAATATGATCCATTAGAAGGATAGTATTCGTACTGGTTTTAAGCCCAATAAATCATAAAACTTCCTTAAGAGACATGTTAATTTCCACGATGTCGATTATATAGTAACCAGCTAATGACAATAACTGGACTTCATTTACCAACAAAAGTCAAGGAATTCAATCGAGTAAGGTGAAGAATAGAAACTTTCGAAGATAACTCTCTCGACTAAGCAACAATATAATCGGTAAAGTTACGAATTATGAACAAGTGCGTGTCGGTTTCAATGAAGTGATTCAACATACTGAGGTATTGGCTAGTGGGTTTTATATGTAGGATAGATTACATCAAGTGGATGACATTGCCAGCCCCGGCAAAAAGAATGGTTAAGTAGAATTCAAGAAAGTATCGAAGTCTCCATACCAATGCTTCAGTTACTGACAATAACGTCAAGCAACGTAATCACAATTTATTATTATTATCATGATACGCCAATGGCACCAAGAAATCTGCCACACATAATAGTATAGTAACAATGTGAAGAGATAAACCATGAGGAGGGGATAAGTAAGAAAGAATAAGAAGAAGAACAGCACAATTAGAAGCGTAGCTAAGCAACATACATTCAAAACAAAACACTCATTACTTTTCAGTAGCACAAAACAGAGGCAAGTTACAGCATCACCAGCACTCCTTTCCATTCTCACCCATATCTCACAACGTCTCAACACACTGAGTTACCTGATATCTCATGACTCACACACACAGTCGTCATGCACCAACAGATACTAACCACACACACACACAACTACCCTTCATTACACGCCACCACGTCATACACTGACCAACCCTCCACTTCTTCCATCCAGTCACAGGGTTACCAAACAATAAACGCCACTGAAGATGTTGGGACGACTTGAGTAACACATGTTGAAGCCACAGAAGCTGGTCTTTCCAAATAACTTCATAAAGTGAATGACCACCTCTATTATCCCAGACACATGCTGTCGTGTTTCAGCATTAATCACATGATATTGCAACTGGATAAGAGCAATCCTAAGGAGATAAGCATGATCAAGTACATAGATACGTCACACATCCTCACCTCGGATAAGGCAGATTTCACAGGCGTAGTGCAGAACTGCTCCCACCGAAGCGCTGTAAATCCAACCTTTTACGGTCAGACTAACGTCACAATGGTGCTAAAAGTGATCCAGATTGACGTCTGTCACTCTGGCTGGAACCACAAAGCATCTATGTAAGTAGTGTACATTTCCTGATCATAGATGTGTACAGAATTTGTTATTCTCTTAAAACGTCTTCAAGTCCAATTTGAATAAAACCGTTTGGTTCCTAAGGTAACATGACTGCAGTTAGTAAATACACTAAACAAATTGAAAATATATTCCTATAAAATACCTTTTTTTTAGTTTTCATGCTTATGAGTTAGTTATAAAATTAAAAAAAGCATCTGGCGTAGATATTAAAATAACACTAACCGATCTCCTGTACGAACATTAAAGTCACTTTTGATTTTATCGAGTACATTTGATTTTTGTAATATTTTTGGTGTATTATATTGTGGATCAGAATTCACCATAACAATCAACCAGTCAAACACATTTCGTGCACGTAAATGACCCAACCAACTACCGACAATATTTCTTCCACCTTGTGATGTATAATGAGATACATTCTGTAATAGAAAGAGAGAAAAAAGAGAAATCAAATATGATGTATAATAGGCCTACTTTAATGGCTGGCAGCGGAATTCAGGACATAAATTTCGTCCTATTTTGGACTCGTCAGCTGGATATACCTGAACCCCAATGAGTGATGTTGTCCCCATCGAGGCTCAGACTCAGTACTCCATCGCTTCAGATGCCAAAATGTTATCCAATAGGGCCACTAGAAGATGAGAGCTAATTCCAATAATACGACCCATCATAACAAAGGGGAATTACAAGTATCAATAAACAACAAATGTTATCTAACTCATCAGTTTACATTAGTATATTTCAATGATACTAGAATAGACAATCAAGAATATCCTTAATGGAATAATCGGGAACTAAATTTATAGTTTATAAGCTGAAAAGTGGTTAACAGATTCAGTAAGTGAATGCACTAAGATATCTTAAGGAGAAAACTTTTGAATGTATATTAAAAACCTTTCTACAAAACATAAAATTGAAATGATGGAGAATATTTGTAGTTCAGGTGGGTGGTCTTGATTGTATTACCTATATGGAAAACTCAGTGCCATTAGTCCGCAGATTTTTCGAATGTTTATTCCTTTGCACCAAAATATCTAATACTAATGGCGTAAATCTATATTGCTATGAATGATAACACTTAGATAGATATTCATTTGGATTATGTGGGAACTTACAGGTTCTCAACATCGTCAGTGTAAATTCTTCTGGTAGCCCAAGCTATAAACATAAGAATTTATGGTAAAATAGACGTTTATCTAGCGTGATGGGGCATCGCGAAGACGAATCAAACGAGTCAACTGCTTGTAACGGAAATTCGGAATTTTGCGCGACCTCGGTGCTACTAATGGTGAGAAAAGAAAGTATGACTGAAAACGATCCTAACTTTAACACTCTGTATACGTGAAAAGTGGTATCTTCTTGTTCATTTCATGACTTGTGTAATCCTCTGGTGTCTTCAATCTAATTTAATGACCTCCATTCCGTACGATTTAGATCCCGTAAAATCTTGTAAATTTTCCAACATATATCAATCTGATAAGGCCCGTAAACTGGCTTCTCTCAGGTTAAATTACTAATATGAGAATAAAATATATAGAAGTAGTATTCATCATGGACTGACATCAGTTGGGGAACCATTGAAAATCTGGGAGCACTGGACAGCTGTCTCGTCCTAGTATGGGACTCCACAACAGTACGCACCACGACCCTACTAGGGGTCGAACTAACGACCTTCAGGTTACACGGCGAGCGCGTTAAACTGAAATGATCAGTGTGGAGATCTACTGCACTACACTCAGCATAAAGTGTGAACAAGATCCGGATTTTCAATACTAATTCAGTCAAGTTAGTCAGTGCTTCTATGTGATGGTTCAGAGACTTGGCGCGTCACGAAAAGCATTTCCAACAAACTACACACATGCATCACATGAACAGCTGCTGCCTAAGATCACTCGATACTGAAGATGGAGATCAGATGGCCAGAATAATAAGAATAAGTAACAAGGAACTCTAGTCGGCTGGCTGGCTGACAACAAACCAACCAACCGAGAACCTATTGCCCAACAAATATGCAGTAGGAGAAAAAGGGAGATGGATTGGATTGGGCATACACTGAGGAGAACATCTGGGGACATAACCCGCCAGGCCGTTGAGTGGAACCCGAATGGGAAACGACGTGGACGTCCTAGCCGACGGTGACATGGAGGAGATGGTGTGAAGAAGAAACGAAAACTTCTGGGCAGTGGTGGAGCCGGCTTCAAAAGACTACAGAGAAAAGGGTGGAATGGCGACGTGCTACTGAACTCTATGATCCACTAGGAACCCAAGGGACAAACAATATTAATAATGATTCTGTGTAAAAATGTCTTAGCGATTTCAGTCAAAGCAGGTCTACAATCCTACCAAAAGGTTCATCTCTGTTGCACAAAAACAAACAATAATTTCAACACAAACAATTTATGATGTAAGACTGTCTGAACGCTCATAATTTACAAACTATTCTAGAGAAAAACAGATGGATACAAATATTATTCATATATAATTGTGTATGATATCAAATAAATACAACATACACTTGAAATCACATAAATATACAATAGTGGTTGAAATGTGCCAACAGGTTGAATCGGTCGTCCACTTGATAAAACTTTTACATTAGACTGGAGTTGATCAACACGAAATCTAGTAAAGCATGCTTCTAAGCGTACAGAGTGTACCACTGAAAGCTTTGGATGTTTCCAAGTCACTTGATGACTAGCTAAAGTGCCTAAACAATGATTTTCAAAATATGGTAGAAGATTTTCATCACCAGCACCTAAAATAAAATATGAAAATATATTATCAACAAATGCATTTGATTGTGAAAAACTTCACTAACATTTATTTATTTCATCACAAAATGTTATAAGTTGGAGAACCATTGAAAAGTTGAGAGAACTGAATAGCTGTTTCGTCCTAATATGAGACTCCTCAGGATAAACACCTACAAGTTTACCAGGAATCCAGCCTAGGACCTTCAGGTCTCGCGATGAACACGCCAATCATCCAGTCACTGAATCAGAGTTTAACGGTTCATAGTTTCTTACGTTGTCGATTCACAACATAGCATTAAAGTCTTGAAGTGACATCCGCTTCACGTCTGATGCAGTTTAACCCATCGATCACGACCTCTCATTAGAATTTAAGGATATCCATCTAGAAGCATGTCACTAACGAATACTACCATAACTCAGATGTAGAAGAGGATAGAGTAAAATTCTATATATTAGTCTTACCCTTCGCTAGACAGTCAGAATTCGTCCTGAAAGTGTAGATTGAAAAATGTCGAACAAGCCTTCTGTATGCGTGATGACTAGCGTCTTTACCCGGTAGAACTATATTGTATGTGTGCTTTGAGTCGTTCAAATACACTTTGAGCAGTAAATCAATCAATGAAAAGTTAGAAGAAGGCAGATTTATCTACAGCAGTACATTCATAACAAAGTAGAAGAGGAATGGTAACAGTAGACATCTGCAATGAATGCTACTTGATAGCTGTTTATCAGTTTACTTTTAAGTTGCCTTTACTTCTCACAATGATTGGAGCCAACTGAAAAGAATATTCGAGCAACAAATAGTTTGAATGAGAAACCAACTGGATTGTACTGATTGTTGGTTACAGATTGTTAAGCGTCATTACGACCATTTCTACAGAAGATTGAATATGATATCAGAATACACCAATATAAGAATCTGCATTATATTTAAATCAATCTCGAATTACCTTCCATCTGAATACAGACTTAATATCCCCCATCTCGCTGGATATACCTCATGCTCTTTCACAATGACACACCAGCTAGCTAGAAACAATTCATGATCTTGTTAATTGCGGTTCTCATAAAGCAGAAGAGATGCTCCATTGATTTCTACACTTCAAAAATCCATCTGAATGTAGTTACGAATGGGGTACTCAGTTCCTATTTGGTTGCATAGTTCATAATGGAATTGATTAGCTTCACAACAGTCTTTAGCATAGAGTAAGAATAATAAAATACGGAGGTTCCCAAGAAGGATTCGTTGAAATACCATTGAAAGAATCCTGTTTCTAAAACTCATTGACAAATTTTCCAAATTTACTAAACTACAGTATCAACAAGGAGCTCTGGGAACGAACCAACCAACAACCTATCGCTCAACAAATATGCAGTAGAATGAAGTGGAGATGGATTGGATTGGGCATGCAGTGAGAAGGCCGACTGGGACATCACGCGTCAGGCCAGTCACTCGAGTGGAATCCCCATGGGAAGCGACGAGTTGGACGTCCGTGGTGAGGGTGACATGGAGGAGGTCGTGTGAGGAGGAAATGAGAGGTTGTGGGCTGTCGTGGAACCAGGTTCAAAAGATCTAAGAGAACAGAGTTCACTGGAGACGTGCTACTGAAGCCCTATTTCCACTAGGAACCCAAGGGACTATAATAATAATAATAATACAGTATCAACAATTCAAAATGGTCATTTATTGAAAGATCTCAAAAGATCAGCTTCTTTAGCTTAAACATGTGTTACGAATGTCATCCCACAGGCTTCCTTATCGTTCACTTCTTGCTTACTCTAAACCTGGTTGGAAGAAGAGGAAGAGTGATCAGTGCACCATATGACACTGAAATGAGAATAATTATGTAGGGTTAGCATTTATAGGCGGTTCATAACTCCATAGACCAGGTCCAAGAAATAATACACTTGGGACGACAGTAGACATGCCCCAGACTCAAAACCAGTGGTGATTACGCGCTGTAGCTTTCTTCTTTCCTCCGTTATTGAAAAGTAAAACGAAAGTAATGAATGACTCTTTGAATATATCTTGTAGACTGTTTTCTTTTTTCAATAACCCACTTCTATCTTGCTTCCGTAATTTAATTTTTTCTCCTTCTTACATTGGTAAGCTATGACTCAATTCTTCATATACTAGTATTCCAACTAATGATAGCTTAGGAATTATGTCTAATTTATTAGACTCAGATACAACACCGACAGAAAGATGTCCATACAATACCAATGACATCATCTAGAGCCTGAAATTCCGCTTAGAGATTACTTTATTATCATTATTATTTATCCTTGGGTTTCTAATGGAACATAGGGCAGGGCTTCAGTAGCACATCTCCATTCCACTTTGTTCTCTGAAATCTTTTGAACCTGGCAACACGACAACCCACAAGCTCTCATTTCCTCCTCGCACGATCTCCTCTATGTCACCCTCACCTCGGACGCCCAACTCGTCGCTTCCCATCTGGATTCCACTCGAGTGCCTGGCCTGACGTGTGATGTCCCCAGTCCGCCTTCTCACTCTATGCATCCAATCCATCTCCACTTCCTTTCACTGCATATTTCTTCAGCGATAGGTTATTGCCTCGTTGCTTCGTCACCAGCCACAGTTCCTTGTTGTTTATTCTCATTATTCTGGCAATCCATCTGATCTTCAGTAACGAGCCAGCGTAGGCAGTTGTTGATGCATGTCTGTGATTTGTTGGAAATGCCTTTCGTAACGCGTCAAGTCTCTCAACCACCACACAGAAGCACTGACTTGACGCTGGTGTTGAAAATCCGGATGTTGTTCACGCTTATGCTGAGTGCAGATCTCCACACTGGTTTCAGGTTAATGAACGCCTGTCTTGCTTTTCCGATCCTGGCTTTGACGTCGTCGTCTGTGCCACCTGTAGTTGAAACAGTTCTGCCTAGATAGGTGAAAGAGACTACTTCCTTTAGGTTTCTCCCGTTCATCCTGATTGGAGCTTGTTGTTGTTGTTGGTGGTGGTGGTGGCATTGGTTGGGTACCTTCATCACCTCTACCTTCTACGTCCACCTGAACGAAGTCCCGTCTTCGCTGCCCTGCCCTGCCCTGCATCTTCTGTCAACTTGTTAGTTTTCGCCTATAGATCTTCAAGGTTGTGAGATTACTTACTTCACATATAAAGGAAAACTATGCAGACAAACTAAAGGTGTTGCTATAGATTCACCTGTTTTACTCACAGTAGCTAACCTATGCATGAGTGAATTCGAAGAAGTGTCTTCACTCGCTTACTAAAGCCAAAAATTTGACTGAGGTATATTGATAACACATTCGTAATTTTAAAACGTGACATGTATATCAGGCATTCTTAGATCAGCTGAACTCTAAATCTCCCAGTATTAAGTTCAGCTCAGCAGAAGAAACAGATAAACGGAACTTCCGTTCCTTCATTGTCTTGTTAAACGGAAAGAAAATGGACAATTAATTATAACCATTTTTAGGACAGCGATGGATTCCAACAAATATTTAGATTTCAACTCATCACATCCATCATCAGTGCGAAAGTTTTTGTTGCCTACAGACTTTTAAGAGAGCATACATTCCAGTAATAGACGAAAATGAAAGCATTAAGGAATTAAAATATGAGAATGAAGTACTTGAAATGAAAAATTATCCGATAAAGTTAATTTGCGAAATAGAAAATAACATTGCCATAACAAATGCAATATCACCAAGTGTTCTACAGAACATTAAACACATTAAACAGCACCTTAGTTTATTTGAAGGACGAGATACCTCTCTACATTCAGACTGCGATGCAATATGCATAGGACAAACTTCCCGTGAAATCAAAATTAGAAAAAAGTGAACACTGAAGAGCTTCCACTCGACCCCTTAGAAATCTAGTGGAAATGAAAAAACTTGGGAACACATCAGCTATAGCTCTACATGTTATCATTTCAAATCACAAGGTTCATGTTGACGATATCAAAATTATTCAGAAAGGTGGCTTTAGAAATTATAAAGAACGTCTTGTAGCATAGCAGAATCTCTTCACATCAAGTGGAATCAAAATTTTCCAAGTAGGAAAAAATGAGGGAGCAAAATGTAGTTTGAACGGGTCTCAACCTACCCCGATATTCTGACATAACCATCTTATATGCGATATGAACTATCAATACATGTGTATATTTACTGGATGATGATTGAAGGTGAGATAAAAATCTAGACCGTGGTAAGATTTGAACCACGGACAGCCGGGATACCAGCCCGATGCTCTACCAACTGAGCTACGAGGTCCCAGTGGGCGCTAGTTCGAATCCAGCCGCGGTTCAGATTTTCATCTCACCTTCAATCATCACACAGTATAAATACGGCTACCTCAGATAGTCAAATGACACACGTATATGCAAATTTCAATCTGTAATTCACACACAGCACACAACATGACGACGTAGAATCATTGCTGTAGAAGAACATTTGTCAAGATAGCATAGATATAAACTTGAGAGATATTGTAAATCCCAGTTTAGTATAACTTTGATGAAGCTATTAACAGTATTACGTACAGTAAAACGTCAATTGAAATAAATTTATTTTGTTTTACATTCATTCAGGGGATAGAAATACCAAAATAATGAGTATCATTTTGATCCAATGCCCAAAGTTTTTCAAACTATCAAATCCTAACTTGATTTAGACATCTATATCTTGTAGGCTGTTTTCTTACTTCAAGAATTCACCTCCATCTTGATTTTGTACTCTAATCTTTTTCTTCGTTTCATATTGTTTTTTTTACGTTTTCCTTCTTAGTGGTATTCTGTATGGCATACAATATTGTACCAAAAATGTATTATAAACAAGTACAAAGTAAAAAATCTCTCAACGGGACACTCTATTTCAATGTTCCTACTAACAATATTGCAAAATTAAGTAAATAGAATATAAATGAGTTGAATTAACCCAATGAGAAAAAGTAATTGTACTTTTCACAAAATGTATACCATGGTACATCATTCTAAGTATGAACCATGAGTAGTTATT